TCACTTTTTTGTAAATAATTCGAAACGCCTTCCTGCGAACTCGCGAAAACACTGCAAAAGGTATGATTCCTGTATAACCACCATAAACTACCGAGACGTTACATTTATATGTATATACGTATATACGGTATAGAAATGTTTGACGGAATCAGCATTGGAAATTCAAGGCTGAGCGTAGTAAAAGGAAAAGAAACCGCCATCAATTTCACCAGTTCTACTCCTATAAACGTCAACTTAAAGACACCCTCGACGCGTGAAATCCGGCACCCCGGCAAGTTCCTAGTACCCGGCAAAGATAATTGGCGAACCACAGGGGAATTCGCGCGACCCCTACTCCATAATCGATACGTCGCCATTGTCTTTCAGAAGCGTGCAGGCGTCGTAAATTTAGGAGAATTTTAATCCCGACCGAGGGAGTTGGCCCGGTAATTTTCGTAACCCCGTTGTCGAGGATAATTGCCACGTTTTCGTAGCCCCACGGGGCCCGAAATTCGCCGATGAATTTCTTGGCCGGGGCCCCGAGACCGAAAACGAGGGAGAACGTGTTGCCCGGCCGACCTCGACCGACACTTCTTCACCGCTCCAACTGCCACTTTTCTCCCCCGACTAAACGGGCCCCGACCACTCCGTTCGGTTATCTCGCGCGTATCCCTTCCTTTTTTCCTCTTCTTTCCTCCTTTTTCTCTTTTCTCTTCTATTTCTTCTCTTTTCCCAACTTCTCTACCTTTTTATTTTCCCTCTCCTCTTTTTTTCACGTCCCTTTCTTTTCTTCGTTACACATACCTTTTTCTCTTTTACCTCTTTTGTTTTCTGCGCTTCTCTTCCATTTTCTTTCATTTCTTCCCTATTTCTTCTCTTTTTGTCGCGACATCTCTTTCCTTTTTTAATTATATATATATATTTACTTCTATTTTACTTTTTTGGAGGGTTTCCTGGACTTCTATATGCCTTCACCTTTGTCTTCATTTAACATCCCGCCGTTTTTAGCGTTATATCTTTTTACTTCCGTTTCGTTTTTATTTTATTTGATTTTACTTTATTTCTTTCTCTGTTTTTTTTTTTTCTTTTATCGTGACAGCGTCGTAATTTTCCATTTGACCGGCCACGAGAACCGCCGACGCGACGCGGTTGCATCGGCTGTCTCGTAATTCAGTTACCTCGAAACCTCGTGAAAGCTCTCGCGCTCCTCCAGGAACCTCCGACGCTTCCGATGCGTGGGCAAAAACGCGAAGAGCTGCGTTCGCGTCGTAGAATTTTTACGATTTTTACGAGGACTCGTGCGGCTTTTCGGAGTTACTTTGAATCCTTCGAGTGGGCTGTCGCAGTACGTTTCACCGTGAAAGTGTTTCTGGGTTATTTAGGGAGTGCGCAACCTCTTATCTGTTCGGTACATTCCAACATTATCACGTTTATATCATACTCAACTTATGCATGTAACAATGTATACCTAGAACGTGAATAAAATTAACTATAAATCGCCATTTAATGTATCCATCAACAGACCTTGGTAGAGTCTAGTTATTTTCCAAGATTGGAAATTAGTCCACAGTTCTTCTTTCCTAAGAAATAGAAATTCACCGTTGTGCGAATATTATCATAACGAATATCGATACCTTGAGAAGTTCATCTCTAAAAAGCTACCCCTCACTCGAAATTTCAATTCTCACCCCGATTTGATGGATTTCTTCCAAAATTTCGAGCGAAATACTCGGGATGTGATTGGAAAATTCGAAGTGGAAGAGGATTAAACACTCGAATGGTTTGCAAGGTTCTCGGAAATGGATCGGAGATGCATGGTTGGCGGGAGAACGCGAGCTCACGGCGCCGGTGAAAAGTTGCAAAGAAACGCGGGGAGAAGAAGAGGAACGGGATCGACACGTCCCCGGAGGGTTCGGGACCAGTGCTCCTTATATTCCTTCTGCCGTAAGAATTTCCATCGTACGGCCGTTTCGCTCGTCAAAGTGAGACGAAGAGGCGCGCACGTCGAGCAGGGAATATAAAAGGGAAACACACGGACGGAGAGGAACGATTCTGTTGTAAAATAGCGAACGAACAGAGGAACAGACGAGTCGAAGAGATGTACGAGAGTTCAGAACGTGGCGTTGCCTGAAAAGGAAGCCGACGGCGCCTCCGGTTAGCGGAAGTCGCCCTCCGACTAGTTTTACACGCAACTGATTGTGAGTCTCCTGCTAAGCGAAGCTAACCAGTATCGCGACTAACAATCGTGCCAATAAAGCTACATGCAAGCCAACGTCGCTAATTAGTATGTCGTAAACGAAGAGGATTTTTTGTTCCATCTTAGATATTAGTTCGTCCCTGATGATCGAGAGGATCTACGAGATCTAGAATGGAATTTGGTCCACGGTCATGGAAGAAATAAACTTTTTACCAGTTGCAACCTCGAGTGTGTATTCGAATGTAATGAAGATAAATGATAATTAAAGCGTAGATACGATTAGTTGCATATCCTCGATAATTCCGAAATTAAAGAATCCGAAACCAGTTACTTTCACTGATCTGTAAGTTCTGGTGTCAGTGACAATAAAAAGACAGTAGGTATCGCGTTTGGATTCTTGAACAAGACCTCAAAAATTAGAGATTTCGTAGCGATATAAAAAATTTGAAAACCCGGTAGAAAGATCACAAGACAAATAACCACATGTGAAAACGTAATTGCTACCCCATGAAAAGCCTGCGAATTCCCACGCTTAGGAACGGGAACAGATCGCACGCGCCATCGCCAATCTCGGAGCTTCCCTAACGAGCGGCAAAAGGAAACACGACATGGGCGAACGTCGACAAATTTAATAACCCTGATGAACTTCTTGCCAGCAGCTAACGTTCCTGCGAACGTCGCAATCAGCGCGGCTAGGCCTCGTGTCTCAGTGGCAAAAACGGCCATGTCGTTTCTTATCTGCCGCAACGATTAGGACATTAATCTTCGAAGCGGTCGAAGCGCAGAAAACGCGTCCGAGGGGTCCGCGAGGCTTATTGGCCGACAAGAATCCCGGAGCGATGCAGATCCACGGTCGATCCGCATTCTCGAAGATTGTGGCGCCGTGGGCCGGTACCGCGCGTTCTGCATTCGTTCTCCACGGGCTGGACGCAGCATCTGGTCGGTACGAAATACCAGGACCAGGTTGTTCCGCCGTTCCGACGCTTCTTCCCTTTGCCCGTGTCCCTCCGACTCCGACCCTCTCTGATCCTCCTCAGCCGCTACCTCTCTGCTCCTTCCACTCTCTACGGTGGCCACCGCGGCGCGCAAGAAGGATGTCGTTGCGCAATTATTTTCGCATGATTCCGATCGGCCGACCAGATTAAGACCGCTGATGGAACGCAGCGTCGCGTTCGTTTGCGATCCGCGTTACGCAGCAAAACCGAATTCCCCAAGACCGGGACCGGTACGTGCGACTATGCGCCGCGACGCGGGCGACGATGCGATTCCGTGGCGGCCCGGGACCAGGATCCATCTTGACCACCACCGGACGAAGACGTAAACAGATGAAGAAGTACGAGAGGGAGGACACGGGCCGCGTTCGGACGTCTGTCGATCATCGGCGATCGGTTTTTGCAGAGGGGCGCGAGCGGTCCTGGCCCGATGCCGACCCATGTTCCGGTTATTAACGAACTTATGAATGATATTGCGCAGAAATTGGCCGCGCGATCGCTCGCGCGGACGATAATTGGGGTTATTAAGGTTTTTCGGACGAGACAGCTGGGAAAATATTTCGTCGGATTTGGAGAACCGTTAGAAAAGATGACAAACGGTACTTCGGGTACCAAAGAAATGCTTAGGTCGAGGGGGTCTTCTGCATCATTTTTGAGAATTTTTTAGGAAAAAACCCTAAGACTTTTTGTCAGAAGAGTTTCGTCATCTTTTCCGTTCACCCTTGAACTGTACAAACCAATTTTTCCAAATGCAGAAAATGACAATTGTAGGAGTTACAATCTTATAACCGCAGGCTGGTTTTATCGTATACGAGCATCGATGGCTGACATGATTTTGGCTGTTCTACTTACACGAAAACGGCAATCGATGAAGTATCGCTGTCAGGTATAAACTAGGATACAGTTATGGTTTAAGCTAAAAGAAATGGAAAGTAGAAGACATCTGTGCTATAGATAATCGTGCTTTTCTTAGGAGATAGAAACCACCGTGATCAAAGGCGTTGACATCCTACTTTCGAATGAAATTCCAGCGAATTTCCTTGGAAGATCCTTGGTTGAAATTGAACAATGGCATCTTTGTCGCAAGATTACGGATGTAGGTTCGACCAGCTAAATACAGTTTGTCATACGTCTGGTATCGAGGTGTCCTAAACGTAGGATCCACGTTATGTACAGTAGTCGCAGAACGAAATCAGTCGCGTGTGCTCGCGTGTTATGGAAGTGGTTCGCCCACTGGCACGGCACGCTTTCAGAGCTTAGAAAGCTATCTATAGACCGGAGAAGCTCTTTGGACGATGTGGGTGGCGACCTCAGCTCGTTCCACTCCCGTGAACGGCGAGGGTCGTCAACGTACGGAAGTCGTGCGACCAGTCTCTATATCTCAGTCATTTACGAAATGTCACCGTAGTTGGATCAATAGTCCTGCCCTACGGACCCCGTGTAAGCTTTATTGCATTTGACTGCACGCAAACAGTCACAGTCGAGTAGTTTGACCGTGTATAAACCGTGAATCACGAATGAAGAATCGACTCGGTATTTTCATTAGGCTTACCAAATATCCGCCTTCGTGAGATAAAAGTACGCGAGATTAGTACCTTTCCTTGGAGAACGAGGTGTATACCTAGACTCGAGCTAAACGTTTGCGTTCACTCTGTTACAGTTTGCATTGGAACCAATGGCCGCCTCTCCGTTCCGTCCAACAAGCAACATCACTACCGGAATCTTCGAGACCGGTACACCAACTGTACTTATGTCGACGGCAACCTGGAGATCACATGGCTGCAGAACGAGACATTCGATCTCAGTTTCCTGCAATATATACGGGAGGTCACCGGTTACGTGCTCATCAGCCACGTGGACGTGCAGAAGATCGTGCTGCCGCGGTTGCAGATCATTCGCGGTAGAACTCTGTTCAAGCTCACCATTCACGACATCGAGTTCGCCTTGTTCGTCACGATGTGTCAGATGCACAACCTGGAGATGCCGGCCCTCAGAGGTACCTCGATCATTCTTCTCTCATTCTTCTTAATCAGTGACAATGTTCGTCTACTTGTCATTTTAACCCTGATTACCTCTGGTCGTATCTCTGGTCTCCAAACAATGGCGTCACGTAAATTGGTACGACCTGTAAAGAAAATAAGAATTAGAAAGGTAGAACGCGGTGTTCTTATTAGCAGAAAATCCGCGTAGAGTGATTCAGCCGTAACTAAATCACACGTGTCGTTGGCAGATATCCTCAACGGCAGCGTGGGCATATACAACAACTACAACCTGTGCCACATCCGCACGATCAACTGGGACGAAATAATCACCGGTCCGAATGCAACGTACTCCTACGTGTACAATTTCACGTCGCCGGAACGCGCCTGTTCGCCGTGCGATAAGAGCTGCGAGCAAGGCTGCTGGGGCGAGGGGCCTGAGAACTGTCAGAAGTACTCGAAGACAAACTGTTCGCCTCAGTGCTGGCAGGGCAGGTGCTTCGGGCCGAAACCGCGGGAGTGTTGCCATCTTTTTTGCGCCGGTGGCTGCACGGGACCGAAACAGAGCGACTGCATCGCTTGCAAGAACTTCTTCGACGACGGTGTATGCACGCAGGAATGTCCGCCCATGCAAAAGTAAGTGGACCGATCCGTATCTCGTCGCAAGCTACTTTGTCGCGTACTCTTCGACCAACCGACTCGAATCTGGGTCGCGTTCGTGTCGTGACTTTTGATCGATGCGTCGTTGATAATCCTTCGGGTATATATTTATCAATCAATATACCCTGCGGGTGTGAAATAGGTGTGTCGAGCTTGCCATAATGACGAAAGATCCGGACGTTTGTGAGGAATAACTAACCCCTTTTATTCGATCGCGATTGATGTCTCGAACTGGACGAATTCGTCATTTTGTGCTTAGATACCGGAAACTCCATTAGAGTATTCGTTGGTTCGAATATTTTCCATCTTTTTTCTTCATTTGCACGGCTCGAATTGCAAGGTTTATCCTGGCTCGATCACGCGAAACATTGGACTCGAATATAATAGGGAAACGAATGGTTTAATTGTTCCTGACGCGATTAAGAGCGACAAACTTTGAAGTCGGCTGAAACCCACGCGGATCGTAAAAACCGATACAAGTATAGGAACGTGTAGCGTATCTTTCTGACAACTCGTGCATAATATCGAATGACAATAATGTAATATTTCATGGACTATATACCGCGACGAGTAATGAAAAAGTGGACACGCAAGAATGGTCTATCAAACCGCGTTGATGTCCACGCGTTTCCAGCACCGTAAGGCGTTTTACAACGGTATCCTTATCATCGATAAATCTTTCTCGCTTACCGATATCGATTTCCCGCTTCGGGGTCATGTAAGGAACACGCGCTAAAAAGTTCGAAACTCTCCACCCTGGCTTTACGACTTGGCTGCTATAAGGATTGCGACGATCGTTTCAGGTACAATCCAACGACGTACTCGTGGGAGGCTAATCCCGATGGGAAGTACGCGTATGGTGCAACCTGCGTGAGAAGGTGTCCCGAACACCTTCTGAAAGACAACGGTGCTTGCGTAAGATCGTGCCCGCCAAAGAAGAAGGCAATGAACGGCGAATGCGTGCCCTGCGATGGCCCTTGCCCGAAAACCTGCAAAGGCGTGGAGAAAGTGCACTCGGGTAACATCGACAGTTTCAAGGACTGCACTATCATCGAGGGTTCCATCACGATACTGGACCAGAGCTTCCAAGGCTTCCAACACGTGTACAGGAATTTCAGTTTCGGCAAACGCTACGAGAAGATGCACCCTGACAAGCTGGAGGTGTTCAGCACGCTGAAGGAGATCACCGAGTTTCTGAATATACAAGGCGACCATAAGGATTTCAAGAACTTGTCGTACTTCCGGAATCTGGAGGTGATAGGCGGAAGGACCTTGACGGAGTACTTCGCCTCGTTGTACATCGTGAAGACATCGCTGGTCTCGTTCGGGCTTAGCTCGTTGAAGAAGATTTATTCCGGATCTATAGCCATTTTGGAGAACAAGAACCTGTGCTACGCGCAGAGCATCAATTGGACGAGGATCAAGAAGTCGTCGGAACACGAGAGCTTGCTGTCGAATAATCGGAACGAGAGCGAATGCAGTAAGACAATTTTTCTTTTCTTCTTAATCTACGCATTCATCTACATGGCGAATTTAGACTCTTCGCTTTGGATGATCTTCGCGGGTGATTCGTTTATCGCGAAGAATATAAAGGTCCTTTCATCCGTATTTCATCTAAAATGAATATTGATAAGGAACAGTGAAGGAATTAAAGCCTCGCACTAATTTTGATGTCGGGACACAACACGCGCTTCGTTGAAATTTCGAGAACTGATGATCTTCACCTGTGGATGAATTCGCGATGATCGAGCAAACTGAAGAAGCGTAAATTCGCCTCGATCTGAAGGTTTGAGAGTCTACGTATGTTATTAGCAAATAAATAAACGTTTTACCTTCTATAATTACAGTTAAGGATGGCCTCGTGTGCGACGAGCAATGTTCCGACGAGGGCTGTTGGGGGCCCGGTCCAGCGCAATGTTTATCCTGCAAGAACTTCATTCTCGGGAACGACTGTGTCCAAGACTGCACGGCACCGGGGTAAGGACGATAACAGATTCACGCGAAATACTCCACGAACTCGTGATCGACTGTACCGTATCGTAATTAACGACACGTTACTTCTGTATGTTAAATTTGCCTACCTCAGATTGTGGATCGAAGGTAAACTGCAAACACCTGAGAAGGCTTTAATCCTCCGCTTCGCGTGCACGCGCTTTCGCTCTATCTTCACACGTTATTTCGCTCTCGTCGTCGTCCATCGTGCATCGAAATGGGAATAATCGTTCTTGCGGCGTTTTCTAGAATCTATCAGGCGGACGAGAAGACCTGCAAGGTGTGTCACGAGGAGTGCGATGGTTCTTGCACCGGGCCGAACCCGGAGCATTGCAAGAAATGCAAACACGCCCGGGATGGCCCGTACTGCGTGCCAGAGTGCTCGTCCTCCAAGTATTATGACAACGGTCAGTGTAAAAGCTGTCACGAGAACTGCGTGGGTGGTTGCGATGGACCTGAGAACAACATAGGCCCTAATGGATGCCACAGCTGCGATAAGGCGATCATGAACGGTCATGTACCTGAAGGATGTCTGCAAAAAAAGGAACCCTGTCCTGACGGTAGGTGATCCTGCATTTGTTACGTTTCAACAAGGATGAGCTTTTTATCCTCTTGCAATTCAGAAGCAATTCAAAGTCTACTCCTAATAGCTATTCTAGTATTGATAATAATATTTTACTGATCACCATTCATAATTACCGAGAATTCTTCCATAGTGATTTCTCCTATATTTATCACGTTTCGTTACGTTCGAGTGCAAACCGTTTTGGTGGTACCTGGAATAATGAGATGAAAAGAAATATCAGAGGATAGAGGACGACATTGCTGTATATAAAATTATAAAAAATATAAAATTCAGCGACTAGAAGATTACAACATGGCAATTTTTGTGTTAAAGGATATTACCTGGAATGGGTGAGTCTTCAAGAGCAGGGAGCACCGAAACCACTGACAAGCAAGGGCGTTTGTCGCAAATGTCATCCCCGGTGTAAGAAATGTACAGGGTACGGTTTTCATGAGCACGTGTGTCAAGAATGTACAAAATACAAGAAGGGCGAACAATGCGAAGACGAGTGCCCAGCGGATCACTTTGCGGACTCGGATACCCAGCTTTGTATACCTTGCTTTAGCGAGTGTCGAGGATGCTCTGGACCGGGCCCGAATCAATGTTACAAATGTCGGAACTACAAGATCTATACTGTAAGTATTTACAGAAAGCTTCATTAACTGTCACATACCTGATACGTTCGTGCACTTCGTGTACGTCTAGTATAATAATACTTACATACACAGCAAGCATTTCACCATTCAATGTCCAAATTAACAATAACATAAAGTTTTGGCTCCCATGTTTAACATTCCACAATCGGTGACATAGTCGCTCACACGTTGACACCTGCAACAAAATTTTTGTTAGTATATTTTCGTACATGTATAATCAAACGAAGCAGAAGCCGAAGAACGAGTCTTTCGCAAAACTTCAAAACGAATCACAAATTTAACATGAATTTATGTACGGCTCGTAAAACGTATTACGAGTCTGGCTGAATGTTGTAGATCGAAGAATTAAAGTCTATCCGTTTGTTCCAGGATGAAGATGTAGACGGAAACACCACGTCTTTCAACTGCACGGAAACGTGTCCTCCGGAGTACCCTCACAAGATCTTCCCTCCGGACAGCGAGCCATACTGCTCGTTGGAAACCGTGGGTCTCGGATTTCAAGTAGAAAACGAGCTACAACCAGCCATCTTAGCAGGTGTTGCAGTGTTCGCGTTAGCATTCCTCGTTGTAGCGTCGGTGACTATGTATTTCTGGCGTGTACGAGCCAAAGCTAAGGAGAACACCGTGAAGATGACAATGGCTTTGACTGGATTGGACGACAACGAGCCTCTTCGTCCAACTGGCGTGAAACCGAACCTAGCAAAATTACGTATCATCAAGGAGGAAGAGATGAGAAAGGGCGGAATTCTTGGTTACGGTGCATTCGGGAACGTTTACAAAGGGGTTTGGGTACCGGAAGGAGAGAACGTGAAGATTCCAGTGGCTATCAAGGTTTTACACGATGGTACAGGGGCAAACACGTCAAAGGAATTTCTCGACGAAGCGTACATCATGGCCAGTGTAGAACACCCGAATTTACTTCAGTTACTGGCTGTTTGCATGACGTCGCAGATGATGCTGGTGACCCAACTAATGCCTCTGGGCTGTCTGCTCGACTTTGTGCGCAGATTCAGGGATAAAATCGGCTCGAAAGCGTTGCTAAATTGGTGCACGCAAATTGCCAGAGGGATGGCTTATTTAGAAGAGAGAAGACTAGTTCATCGTGACTTGGCGGCTCGGAACGTTCTTGTCCAAACGCCCAACTGCATCAAAATCACCGACTTTGGCTTAGCCAAGCTGTTGGACATCAACGAGGAACAGTATAAGGCCGCCGGTGGGAAAATGCCGATAAAGTGGCTGGCTCTGGAATGCATTCAACATCGAGTATTCACGCACAAATCGGACGTTTGGGCTTTCGGCGTGACTATTTGGGAGGTGCTCACCTACGGTGGTAGACCGTACGAGAATGTGCCTGCCCGAAACGTGCCAGAGTTGTTGGAGAAGGGCGAGAGGTTATCTCAGCCAGCCATCTGCACGATCGACGTGTATATGATCATGATCAAGTGTTGGATGTTGGATGCAGAGTCCAGGCCTAGCTTCAAAGAACTGGCAGAAGACTTCGCGAAGATGTCTAGAGATCCTGGCCGATATCTTGCCATCAAGGGTGACAAATACATGAGGCTACCTTCGTATACACTGCAGGTGGGTGAAACGAACCTGAAATTTTATTATGCACTTTCTTCCGAGTAACAATCACGTTTCTTTCCTTAATATTGTAATAAATCGCTATGTTTGTATGAATCATCACTATGACCCGTGTATTTAGGACGAAAAGGAGATGATACGAAATCTTGCATCAACCATGGACGGTCCCGAGGCTTTGGTAGACGCTGACGAGTATCTACAGCCAAAATCTAGAGCCCCTATTCCACCAGGACTTTCGGTATCAAGTACTTCCGGCTCCCCACCGAATATACCCGTGAAAACTTGCTGGCCAAATGGAAAGCCGTTGGCTACCGATTCCCCTACGCCTCAGAATCAACAAAATTGGGACAGAGAATTGTTGAGGTACGGCGCGAATCACAGGAACGGAAATGTATCACACGAACCAGGGAATTCCGGTCAACATGGCCATTACGCGCCTCCGAATGGCCACTGTGGACACGTAGTGGGATCCGATACGACCACTTCGAGATACTGTTCCGATCCATTAAAGATGATCGGTGTCAGAGGTCAGTTGAATTTTCAAAACATAGAAAGCTTCCTTTAATTCTTTAATTCTACGGCGAGAAATACAGCAAGATTAACCATTCCTTAGTTTCATAATAAAGATAAGACTTTAAACTAATAGGGATGCAGGAATATATTTCTACTTCGAGAATAAAAATATTAATTTTTCCACGACCCATGATTCATAATCATACCGACACGATATATGTTATTTTTTCACAGATTGCGACGTGACAGATGACTGTTTCGACGGCGAAGTGAACTCTGCGCACCAACAGGCTCAAGTAGGTAATCTGAAGCTCGACTTGCCATTAGACGAAGACGATTATTTGATGCCATCGCCGCAATTGCCAACAAACACGACGCAGTATATGGATCTCATAGGGGACTCGAAACCTACTGGTAAACATCAGCGAAACGTTTACGAAATAATTTCGAATCTAATTAATTAAATTAACGATTATGTTCAATCTCACGATACGTTTATCGTTTCTAGAAATGGAACCAAAGCGAGTGAACAACGGTTACCGAAAATACCCCGAATTCTTGACTATTCAAGCGAAAACGTCGCTGGATAATCCCGAGTATATAATGTCTCAAGAGGAAGGACCTTTAACCCCTCAAACTTTAGGTATACCAACACCTGACCTGGAGAAGGTTTTAACGAACGGAACGTTCGGGTCTCAGGTGAGACAAAGGAGTTCCGAGGAAGAATCTGACCACGAGTACTACAACGATTTCGATCGCTTGGAACGAGAATTACAGCCGCTAAAGCCACTTAGGAAGAACGAGACGACCGTTTGATTAAAAATTTCATGAAACGACATCGAATATGGACTTTTACGTTGTGGTTCCAAGCTGGAATCGTGAAGCCGGTATCGTCCGATCGTCTGTTGATCGAGGAACGATCTCAAACGCAACGTATGTAAACACGAGCACGAGTTGACGTTTAATACAGACGAGTCCGGCTCCTCGTGCTCGAGGAAACTTCATAGTGTACTTAGAAAGGACACTTCGCTCAAAAGTGCCGTGTTTTGATTGTGATTAGACGTAAAACGTGTAAAACTGTGCTAATTTCTCTTATCAGCAAACTCTGACTATCGCGACCATGGACTATTGTTGCCCGCGTGCGCAATAAACAAGTAGTGCAAAGATAATCTTAATGTGCCATTTACCGTGGCTTGTAAATAAAAGAAAAAAAAAATGAAGAAAGTACTGTTTACCACTTTTATAAGGCTATTAAATATTTAGACAACGACGTGCAGTAAATGGCATAAACTATTGTTTCCCTCTTATCTCTGTCTTCGATCTTTTACGCTATCTTTTATGATCCATACTCGTCGTATTCTTTTATCTTGTTTATTCCTCCTATCTATTAGAGATTCCTATGTAAAAACTGTTAAAGTACAGAGAATCGTTTAAAAGCGCGAACCTGAATTTTTAGCATTCGATTTTATTCCCTCCGTTAAAATTAATATCCGTGAACTCACTTTAGATCGCGGAGATAGCTATTTCATGCGATCGAGTACGAATCATAAGATGTGAAAAATTGTACACGGGGCAGTTCAAAAATATATGCGGAAGTTGAGACGCAAAATTTACGCTGTCTCGTGTTGCGATATATCCATGCGGTTCGCCCTTGACTGTGATAAGAAACGTTCTACTGTTACTCGAGAACACTTAAACGAAACATCTTACTTGTTTATCGATCCTTCCTTGCTTTCTCTTCTTTTATAATATTCGCAGTAAGCTATGACAATGCAACGAAATTGTCCTAATTTACTGCCTAAATCGGTAAAGTGTTTCCGAGTCGCAACGCGAGGATCGACCGGAATCCAGGGGATTCATCGAAACGAAACCCGAGGGGAGATTTATAGATCACTTGCCGCTTCCCGGGATTCTTGTCTCGCGGCTCTACTTAAATGTTAACGATGCCCTATATTTTTTTATGCCATCGCCTTTTTTTTCTTTTTTGTACATGGGACCAATGAAATTGGCCTCGGCCAGAGCGCACGAAAATATCTCGATTTTTATTTTTAGGAACGCGTCTGTGTACATAGATTAGTGATTAGCGCGTAAGATATTCTACGTATGTAGAAAATGGAAAGTACTTGAGTAAACTAAGTAACCTGTATTTGTTCCTCTCCTCGAGGACTAAAACAGACGAACAAAACAGAAAAAGAAAAAAATGATAAAAAACAAAAAACGAAAGAAACGAATGTAAAGAAAGTAACTTAGCGCAGCGTCGGTATGCGAATTATACGGGGTTACGTTGTGTCGCGTAATCATAGGTTTAGGATGTGCCATGTTGTGTACAGGGAACGCGCAAGAAGATAACGAAAAAAGAAAATAATGACGGACACGTTTCGTTTTAGGGAAATCGAAATCGTTCGTGTTCACCTGAAATTAAAAAATGGAAAAAAGAAAAAAAAAGAAGGAAAGGCCGGAACACGGATCCTTCGAGGCATCGAATTCGAGGCGTCCGAATAGAGGAAAGGCTTGCACCAGCGTGCACGAGATTCGCGGCCCCGTTCGTGGTGAATATAACGAAGATGAAATTTTTGAACGATACGCGAGCTTCTGTGATAAGATGAGACCAAGTTTCAGACTGAGAAATTATTTATCGTTTCCGACAACAGTACAATTACACGAATTTTTTTTAATCTCGTTGCACGCCGAACGCATTCTCTGACTCTTCGAGATGTTTAAACCAATACGTATTCGTGTACATTACGTTAAGTGTTATTAATAATTACGTTATTGAATTCTCTCCTGTAATATATTATACACGTATCGATGATTGCGTTGCCGAGCGTGTACTCCAGAGACGTGTACACGTTTATCTATGACATCCTCGTCGGATATGAAAAGAATGAAAAAAACGTGTCTTTCCGTATGCCTCTCCCCACGTTGTTCCCGTCTCTACGATCCCGTGTAAAATCGGCAGAGAAAACCGCGAGCGTGAATTCGAAATTGTACAATACTGTTCGATAGCCGGGATAAAATAGCTGCGAGGAATTGCATTTGCCATTCGGTTGTGGACATAGAACTTATAAAACTTTATAATATCATTATATATCGTAAAGAAATTATTGTAATAAAGAACCATCATCATTCTTACGAAACTGACGATTTGTTTCTTTTTTTTTGCTGATTCCCTTCTTTACTATTACTGTATTTTATTTTATATCTTGTACACGTATAATTTGTTTCAAATTAATAAAAACTTACGGAAAGAAAGATATACTAATATATGTATATAACTTTGCTGTTATTAATAGTAAAGCTTCAACTTATCAAGGCAACGTTATTTCCACTTTTTCTCCTTTTCTTTCTCCATTCTTTGTATAATCACGATCTAAATGTTATAGTTACTAAAATATAAATTTATATAGATATTAAAACATAATATATACATAAAAATTATATAGTTATGTTTAAATGAATATATTTTAACAGGAACATTTGTCAGCACTATGTAATATATTAGACCACTATCTACCACAATATTGTTCATATCAGAAACCAAAAGGTGGTTGTTTTGTTTAGATACATCTCCATCTCCCAATTGGTAATACACTTTCATCTAAAATTATTTATGAGGTTAAATATCGATATCAAATGACAATTCAATTTATTTGTAGGTATAGATGGTAGTGACTTTATTGAGTGGTGTCAAAACGAGTACAAAGTATGCGCTATACCAGGAATATATTTCTCATATTCTGAAAAGTCTCATAATTTTCTACATCTTAGCATAAGTTTTCACAAGAAAGAAATTTTAGAAACTGGGGCAGGAAATCTTTGTAATGCTCTTTTAAACTACATTAGAGAAAGTAATTGTGAATAATTGTAATATGGTAATATTCAAAATATCAATATGTAAAATGTATATTGTTTATCATTTCAATTTATAAGATAATTTAACAGTGAATTAAAATATACATATAATCTTCCATTGTCAGTACAAAAGCTAATTAATTCTTAATATTTCTTTATTTAATTATATTAAAATATATGAATAAGTATCCTATATTAACTTCAGCAAATTATTAATGTATTCTGAAACGTTGCAATCATAAAGTATAACAATTATAATAATGTTTCCATATCATAGTGTTTATTATATACTTGTTTATATTTTTTACATATTTTTTTGGTTTCATGTGAATAAATGAAAGATGAAATACTTCAAATATATGAAATGTAAAACTAACTATTCCTATGATTCACCCAATAGCTCTTTTTGCTTCGTTTTCAGGATTTGTTCTGCTTTCTGTACATATGCTTTTTGCATAGCACCTATATAATTTTCAGCTCTAAACATTAAATCTTTTGGTACATTTGTTTTCTTTTTTAACTCTCTAATATGCTGATTTCGTACATCACTAATGGTGTCTTTACATTGAACAAAGTGTTGTTTCGCTACCTTTGCTAAACTTTGTCTGTAATCCTTTGTAACTCTGTTAAATTTAATAATAAAATTAATATATTGAACACAAGCAATAGAAATTGTGCAATTGTATAAATATTAAGAAAACTTACTTGGGTAAGGCAACATAAATAGTTGTACCATCTTGCTGTGGATTTAAATTCATTTGAGAGTTTTGTAGAGTTGCTAAGATATTTGGAAGCATCTGTGGAAATACAGATGCATCTAACACAACCATAGTAGGTTTTCGATTAATCTGTACTATTTCCTCAAGTTTGTAATCTTCATCTTCAAATTTAACAGTTAGTTCTTCTATAGCACCTACTCTTGTTCGTAAAGATAAATGTTTCATTATATAGTCTTCAAACTTTTCAATTGCTCCCTTAAATTGTAATATCATATGGTCCACCTTTATAATCGGAGATATTTCATTAAGATCAACATGTACTACTTGTTTCTTTTCTTTGTATCGATCTTTACTTTTTAATAATATTTTTGTAGTAGAGAACTTCCTTACATTACATAATTTAAATGTAGAATCATTCAAACTAGTATGCATATTTCTTAATTTAGAAGATATTAAAACATTTCTACAATTTTCCAAAATATGTAAATATCTAACATATTTTTCTGAGGTATTTAACTTTATAAAGTGAGTCAAGAAACTCCCTTTTATCATTGTTTAAATACGTTATGTAATAAACTTTTACGCTTTTGTGACCTGTTTTATAAATATGTGATATAAATTTGATTTAATTATTAACCCGAGAATAAAATCCTGTAATAATTAAAGATAAAGTTGTTATTAATGTTTATAGCAATTTATAAGATTGGAAACTGCTATTCAACACTATGTATAACGGTATATTTTCAGAGAAATTATAATTACTTGAAACAGTTAAATATTGTAGTTATGAGAAATATGTCAATAATGATCATATGAAGGTTAGTAATGGAGAGGAAACTATACGAATGGAGTAAAGATTCCTTATGATACAGTATGTTACATACATATAACATAATATGTTATACTACTGTATGATAAACAATGTAAATTTTTATCCTACATTTCTTGCAATTTTATTTAAAATATTTTTAAGTAGTAAGAAATGACTAAGACAACAAATGTGCAATAAACACGATAACGGTAAGAAGCTATTTCAAGATATTCGAATTATAAAATGATAAATAAATAAAGAGAATTTCATGAAAATCGGTCTGAATTTGATTAATTATTAAGTATTGTCGAACACATAGTACCTCAGTCAATTTCTTATAATATCTCTAGCAATCATTGTGATTGTTGACTTTTTAATTCTAAACAAGCCTTGAAGTTTTAATGAAAATTGAGTGTACACGTGTCAGTAATTACCCGTGTAAGAATTTAGAATTAGTTTCGGTTTGTTGTGATATAACTAAAATTTCACCTTGACATAATTGAAATTTGTTTTTATTAAAAACAAAAGTAAGTGAATAGAAATTTTATGTTAATAGTAATGTGTAAATAAATTCTGTATTGCAAATTAAAATATATTTAGGATTAATTATTTCCTTTTTTTTACAGATAATGTGATATATATAATACTGTATCGTCCTTAATAGAATAAGTGAAGCCTTATAAAAAACAGTTATAATTATTAAAAATAGTGTTAAGTAATTTGTAACAATTTAAAATGAGTAAAACACCAGTATCAATTTTACAAGAAATGATGATAAAAAACCTAACAGTACCAACTTATGAACTTATACACAATGGAGGAGGCTCTCATATGAATAGTTTTACATACCAAGTAACATGTAATGAGCTTACTGCCACTGGTGTTGGACGTTCTAAAAAGGATGCAAAACATGAAGCCGCAAAAGCAATGTTAGAAACTATTGCAGCACATCGAGGTTATTTACAATTACCACCATCAACAGAACAAACTTCTGTAAGGACACCTTTACCACCAATAGTTCCTGAAGTAGAACGAATTCCACCAGATGTACCATTTGTTAATGCAATTGGTGATTTACAGGTAAATTAGACATATCTATCTTTGTTTTAAATTACTCTAATATTATTTATATACATATTATTCCAGACTTTATGTGTTGAAAACAAGTTACAATACCCTATATATGATACGATTAGCGATGTTGGACCTCCACATGATAAAACTTTTACTATTCAGTGTGAGGTAGCAAATTTTAAAGAAATTGGTATTGCAAAAACAAAAAAGCAAGCAAAACAAGAAGCAGCTAAAAAAATGTTAAATAGGTTAAATGATTTGGTACCGGATTTAGAAAGCATATCTGATTCAGGTCAAACAGTTGAAACTATGGATAAGTCTGATATCCAGACTGCCAAATCCATATACCTCAATTATTCAAAGTTGCTTTCACAGAGAAAAATTAACTTAGGTGTTAAAGTAGCGGACTATCATATTTTATTAAAAAACCAGATTGATACTGAATTACATGAAAAAGTACTTAATGAATTATCATCTCTTACTTCAAAATGTGACATTGCCTCTTCTCCTGATGCTATAGAAAATTTAAAAACAGAGTTTTCAGATATATTGCATACTATAGATTTAAATATGATTGAAGTTCCTGTAACATGTAGCAAACAAATGATATCTAGGTGTATAGACACAAACCCAGAAATTGTTGAAATTGTAATAGGGACAGACAGTGATGCTGAGTTGAATTTATTAAAGAAATTAATTAATGCTCTGATACTTTTTTTGAAATAAGAATAAGAAGCCTACAATAGAGACTAAACAATTTTATATATAAAATATATTTTTTGTTGAAAGTTCTGAAAAAAGGAAAGCTGTAAAATATTTTTTTGAAAGTTCTAAAGTATTTTATTCGGTATTTGATAATTTGTAAGTATTATAGTATAGTTATACAGATACATTATACAGATAAATAATAATGCTAATTTAAATGTATGTAATGTATGTAATACTTATATACTCAGATGATCAATACTTATTTAACATAAAGTAGTGTACTTTTAATATGTATATACATTTGCAAAATATATAGACATTTTTCAAGCATTTTGCACATATTATTTTATGTCACATAAAAGTGCTACACCTCGTAATGTCCAGTGTCGGGGATTGTAATCAGTTTCAAAATCAATCGATCCGATGTACTTTGAATCTGTTCTTTGTGGCTTTCTATATATAGGGCATTCATAAAGTTTCGGATCTTTTCCTGCAGTTGTGTTTATCGCATAAATGTAAATTACAGGCATTTGTTCGTATAATACCTTTGATTTACTTTCTACTAATTTGCTTGTTTTGCGATCAAGCGAGGCACCTTCTAAAAATAAACCATGGACGTAAACCCCCTCCTGAGGTTGATTTTTTATGTCCTCTTTGTTAAGTCTTGTAATCAAATTTTGCAATACGACAGAGTCAAGAGCCCATCCTTTGTGCGCTCGAGTTACCTCCTGCAAAATATGCAAACTTGTTATTCAAAATGTGTATATATTTTGTTTCGAAATTGACAAATTATTAAACAAATAAATTTCATTGGTCAATGAAAGAAGTTAATGTTTGGTTTAGTATTCTTGAAAATAAGACATTCATCTAACTTGTCTCATTGCAGTTAAAAATCCTTGAGGATTGAAGAAACCAGTCATCCAAAAGACCTTAGGTCTTCCATAAGTACACCATTGTCTGAACTGATGATCACGTTCCAGAAGTTCCGTGTACCAAAACCCAAGTGTTGCCGATTCCCAGGAAATTTTTAGCCATTTTTCTGGAATACGAGCGTCGTACATCGCGTCAAGTGACTTTCGCAACCCTTGACTCATCACAATGGTACCTTCGATAGCTAATTTTAAATCTGTCAAAGTACTACGAACTTCTTTAATGACTCTGGTGATCCTGTAGAGCGCATTAATAAGCGAACTATCGTTAAAAGTGGTATGCAGGAAAAATGAAAAAGTCTACCTGTCGATTTCTTGTCTTAAAAATATGTTCATCGGTAACAATGCTCCCATTCTTTGAAGTGCTTCTTTCACTTCGAAAGAATTATATTGTTTCGGTAACTTGCTTAACATATCGCTGGCAAGTTTGTACACGACGTTTTCTCTGGTTTCACCCCCCTGTGCACCCCCTTCCTTAGGTTGGACACTCAAAATCGTATCGAGTATTCCCTTTGCCGTGTTTATCTGATAGGTAATATCCGCATTTGGATGTAAGCCGAAAACTTCTGGCGTATCCGCTCCAGGCAGGCTATCAATGTAATCCAGATACCCCTGAAGATTCTTAGTCTGTGGTACTTTGTATCCACGATAAAATTCGAAGCCAGGTCGTAACAACACATCACAAAACCAAACATGCGTAAATGTTGTTAACAATCGCTTGTCGAAGTCATCGGTAACTCTGCCACCGTACTGGACCTGAATTTATAGATAAATATAAAGCTATTATATATAACGAATTCTGGATTTATATCCCTTGTACTTATCACATTTGTCACGACTTAATTACTCTGAAAATTTAATTGTTTAGCATCAACTAGGTGGAACGTTAATGGCATATTTGGCGTCAATGACAAGTGATAAGATAACAGGAAAGTATCTTAATGAATATTTTTTAACGAATAAGATTTTTAAACCTCTCCAAGCATATAGCAAACGGTTGGCCACGAGACACCCCGTTTTGGATCCATGTCGTCCAAATGATTCTGTATAAATTGGACGGAAGCAGCAAAGTCAGCTTGATTAAATTCGTACGGTATGTTCCAACCAAGAGGTCCGAATTTCCTACGTTCTTGTACTACTGTGTGTAGAAACGCAACAGCGTACAGTAATGGTGGCCACTGTGATTGTGTACTGTAATCTAACGTATCCTGCGTGACGCCTTGGTAAGTTCTCTTTAAGCTGGCTCTGATACCTTGTGGTGGTTCATTTGTAAACTTGATGGCCATCTAAAACGAGGTTTGTAACATGTGAAGTTATATTTATACGAGTTATCAATTGCAACAGATATAGAGAGACCTGCAATAAGCCTATAGGGAATTGCGGATGCACCTCTGTGGTCATCCACAGTCTAAACGCTTCGTGAACAATATCTGTTTCGACCAGAGCGTCCATGACTTCGGTACAAAAAGGAAGCGACAAGTGAATATTTTGTAGCAATACCCAACTGCCACTGCTCATAGCGTCCGAGATCAATCTTCGAGCATGAAATTCCTGGCCTTGGCCCATCGATACGGATCGTAATTCTTAAATGTAAATTATAATCTTAACTAATACAGTGATTTTATTTCAGTATTTTATATCATACTTGTAGAAATGATATTTTATGAACTTTCTTACGGATTGACTTTTGCTTTGCCAGCGCCGTAATCTGTGGACTAGGATCTGATCCGATCGATAGTATGCATATAAGTGGTGTCCTAACTTCAGACTCTAACCAAGTGGCCTCCAGATCTAAAATTTTAGTTTCTCCATACTCTTTTCCTAATGATTCAATAACGTACTTCTTTGCCTGGGACAAAGTTCGGTCTGGACTCCATGATCTTATCAAAAGTAACTTTCTGAACACGTCGAGTTTCTTCTGATACCCACAAGGAAGTTCTTCTTCTTCGGGTTTCTCTCTTTCGTACCACACTCTCCATTCCCTTTCACTGAATTCGATTTTCGTTAAAATGTCCGAGAACGTGTTCAGTTTGCTGATCTCGACCAGGTTCAGCCAAGTTATGTCGAGAATCCATTTAAACGGTTTCGGTATAACTGCATTTAGGTCCAAGGATGCACCACCCTTTATGAAAGCATTGAATTCCGCGTGGGAAATTGCACCACGATGACAATCTATCTTCATCGCTAGCATCAAGGTGAACAACGATTTGTGCCGTTCGTATAGACTTCGCAAAGTGAAGGCCCATACTTCATAGGTAAGGTGACGGAGGATTATGTTTATTCTTTCGACAGTGATGAGACTTTTCACGGATTTCGTGATGGAATTATCGAATATCGTCAAAAATTGTCTCAACGAATTCTGGTACATCGCGTTCACGTTGCTCATCTCCACGATAAGAAAGTATAAGATGGATCCTCTTGACGCGACAGCACGAAACTCTTCCCTAGCTAACATGATCTTCTTTTCTGTCAACGCAGACACCTTTAGTTTCTCGTTGACCGATTCCGCTGTTACCTTGGTCTCCCTGAGCACGCTTATAAGCGCTTCGTCATCCACTAGGGAACCTTCGGAAGACGTGAGTCGATGTAACAGCGTACTTTCAAGTTCTTTCATAGATCGTTGATTTGTCATTACAGATTCAAATAGAGCTACCCTCTCGGCTTCCAAGTCTGCCTTTTCCATAAGGATCACTCTACCAAGTAACTGATCCTCTAGCCCTAACATCGTGACGGTAAAATCGATGATGGACGTTTTCGCTGAAATCTCTGGACTGTACGCGGGGTTTGGTAATTTCGTAGTGATGTACAACATAAAACCAGGCATCACGTCGCATTCTTTGTCGCCAACGATCACCTTCTCGATAGAGCCGGACTTGATAAAATTTTTTTCAAGCACGTTATCGAGAACTGGATCCAATTCCTCTGCGATATCTTCTATCAACAATGGCCTGCCCAGAGAAAGACTGTCCTCAAGGTGAGTTCTAAAGTATTTATGATTAAGAGATGTAATTTGTAACTCGTTCATGCATTCCTTATTCTTTATCCACATTTTTCCTTGATTCTGGGGATCTACCAATAGCGGATAAGAGGAAGATTTGGTCACAATAAGCGCATTTTGTACAGACAATTCGTCATTTGGTAATCCTTGAAGAGTCCATTCGGACATCGTCGCACTATCCACAAGCATATTTGTAATGTTCAGATTTTTAGTGAAGGGAATAGATTTAGTTGCCAGAATGTTCATCCAAGATGACACCAGACTAGTTCTGTATTGTTGATTGTAAGGACCGCAGTACGATAAAAAGCCCGTGGCTAGTAAAACGTCTCCAACCAATCGTCCTAATTGAATTTTGAACTCGCTGCTCTGCTCCGTCCAACGCATTTTCTCACCGCCTAAGCCGTTGATCAATGCGGTTGCAGCGGTCATTTTTCTAAGACATACATTCGCAGCTTCTGTCAGTCTTTGCTTCTCCGAAACAGCTAAGTCATACTGTTCCTTGACTGCTTGCAATGCCATTTCTCTTTCCGATAATTCTCTCTCGGCATTTGCCAAGTCTTCCATTGCCACCTTCAGTCTTGCTTCTTGCAACGCCAAATTGGCTTTCAGTGGAAGGACTTCTTTGTTCACCGAATGAAAGAAGGCCATAGCCTTTGTCCAAGATAATAAGCCTGCCACGTCACCGCAAACTCGCCTAGCAGTTTCCATATTATAGTCTTCCATCTTGAAATAAGGCTGAAGTAGTTCCACCATTTCGTTGTTTATTATGTCTTTCGGATAATTTTGTAGCTGCAGCAAAAACGTGGTACTGGCCATTAGTTTCAGGGACTCGGCCCACGATGGTTTTGGACATGCGGCAGCCGTGTCGGGAATGACTGGTCCAATTTTGCGTTGGAACAGGATCAACACGCAATCCATGATCCTCATGATAAGATGAGGCGGCCTGCCCAATTTTCTTACGGTAGCTATATGAGCAGGTTTAATCGTATTCAAAGCAGCCTCCGCTTCCTCCAGCGCTGGTTTGGCAGCTTCTAGCTTCTCTTCAGCCAACGCTTTCTCTTCCGCTATGCAAGCTACTAATTGCTCGGCTTTCTCC